ATTTGCTTGTTGTGGAAAACCCACACATTTGGTGTCAGAAGTGCTCTATGGGTAGATTAGTAAAAAAATACTAGTTTTCTCTCATAGAGTGGTTTTTTTCTCTTTAATATGTAAATAAATTTTTTCCATTTGTTTAAGTGTCTTTCAATGGATTTCCATTTCACTTAGAATAAAAATGACATTTCTTATTGTAACCTACCGCATTGTTCAGGATCAACCTCTTTCATCTCATCTCCAAGGACGTCATTGGTAAATTTTACCCAAGATACGTGGAGGAAATAATACAACCTATATATACTTTTTCTGAAAATAGAGATTGAGTAACTTTCCCGCTACTTTTGAGACCAGAATTTCTTTGATAACAGAAGTAGTCAAATGCACTACAAGAAAAGAAACTGCTGAGTCAGCAACCATGATGCATATGGGTTCACAAATCCTCAGCAAGTTGTTTCCAAGCCAGATACAGCAAAATATTAAGAGTAATACATCACAACCAAAAGTGGTTTATTCTAGGAGTGCAAAGGTGGCTTAATATTTGAAATCCACCTCATTAACATAATTAAACAGAAGAATCATATGATTTCTACAGTAAATGTGGAAAAAGTGGGTTTGATAAAATTCAGTTGTCAGTCATTAGTAAAACTGTTAGCAAACCAGAAATAAAAGAATATTTTCAAACATGATAAAGGGCAACATACACAAAACTTATAGCTACCATCATGAGTAATAGCAAAAAACTAAAAACTTCCCTCTACATATAAGAAACGTATGTCCACTCACCATTCTTGTAGAATAGTTCTTAGCAAGGACAAAAAATCAAGAAAAAGGAATACAAAGCATATCAAAAAGAAAGAAAGAAAACTCTCATTATATAGAGTCAACAAGATCATGTATAGAGAAAATCCTAAAGGATCTAAAAAAGACAATCCTCTAGCATTTATAAATAAATTTATCAAGTTTGTAGGAAAAAATATCTCTATAAAAATCATATTTATATAATCTAGCAGAATAAATAAGAAAATTAAACATAAAAAACAATGCTATTCACCAAAGCATTAAGGGCGAATGTAACAAAACAGAGCAAGATCTTACAGTGAAAATTATAAAACATTGCTGAAATATGAAAAGTCCTAATGACACATGGAGATGGGCTATGTTCAAGGATTAGAAGATTTCATATTTTTACACTGTCACTTTTCTCCTAATTGATTTCTAGAGTCAATGAAATATCTATCAAAATCCTAATAGGCTTCTTTCGTAAACACTGACACACACTAAATTTTTTAGAGATATGCAAATGTCATAGAATATACGAAACAATCTTGTAAAGAACAAAGTTGGGGAACTTACTCCACTTTATTTCTAGATTTTAAAGCTATCGTGATTTTCTCCTAAAATAACATCCCACAAATTCTTCCTTTCCTGTACACATGTGCCACTTCTGTCCATTAAGCTCTGGAGTTTATTTCCCTTCCCTGAAATCTAGGCTTCCCCTGTTTCGTGACTTGCATTGATCAATATGGTGCTTACAAGCTTCCATATTCGCTCTCTTAGAACCTTGAGCCATAATGTCACTGAATCCGAATAATCTGATAGAGATTGAAGTTTCATGAAGAGATGCTCTGCTGGATGTGAGACTTCAAAGAGGGAGAGCGGACCACGCAGCCTCCAGCTACCTCCCGTGTACGCTAAGTTGTTCCAGTCGTTTCTGACTCTTTGAGAGTCCATGGACAGTAGCCCACCCGGCTCCTCTGTCCATAGGATTCTCTGGATTGCCATGACCTCCTCCAGGGATCTTCCCTACCCAGGGAACGAACCCGTGTCTCTTACGTCTGTTGCTTAACCACTGGTGCCACCTTGGAAGTCCAGCTAGCTTAGTCAACTCAGATAATGCTCCAGACATGTGAGTGATGCCTTCTTAGATTCTTTAGATTTAACTGATCTATATTAATCAACACCACATGTTGGAGAAATGAGCACATCCTCACCAAGTCCTGCCTAAGTTGTTGATTTACGAACAAGTGATTGGTTGTTCTTGCTGATGCCACAATATTTGGGCGTCAGTTCATATACCAGGGTAGAAATCTGACTGAGCAAATGAATGACATTCCTTTTTCTCAAAGCAGGCTAGTAACATCATCATATCGTGCCTTATGCTGAAATACTCTCTATAAGTCTCTTCTACAGATTTTCTAGGGAACAGGCAGTTTCTGTAGATACACTTCAGAAATTAAAAGATAAGGACATTTTTGTGCAGCATGAAATTAACTGAAAGAACTTTCTGATTAAATTTCTGATTGTAAAAGTAAGGTTTACAGATCTGAAAGAGACAAGTGCACCCCAATGTTCATTGCAGCACTATTTATAATAGCCAGGACATGGAAGCAACCTAGATGCCCATCAGCAGACCAATGGATAAGGAAGCTATGGTACATATACACCATGGAATATTACTCAGCCATTAAAAAGAATTCATTTGAATCAGTTCTAATGAGATGGATGAAACTGGAGCCCATTATACAGAGTGAAGTAAGCCAGAAAGATAAAGACCATTACAGTATACTAACACATATATATGGAATTTAGAAAGATGGTAACGATAACCCTATATGCAAAACAGAAAAAGAGACAGATGTACAGAACAGAATTTTGGACTCTGTGGGAGAAGGCGAGGGTAGGATGTTTCGAGAGAACAGCATCGAAACATGTATATTATCTAGGGTGAAACAGATCACCAGCCCAGGTTGGATGCATGAGACAAGTGCTCGGGCCTTGTGCACTGGGAAGGCCCAGAGGGATCGGGTGGAGAGGGAGGTGGGAGGGGGGACCGGGATGGGGAATACATGTAAATCCATGGCTGATTCATGTCAATGTGTGACAAGGACCATTGCAGTACTGTAAAGTAATTAGCCTCCAACTAATAAAAATAAATGAAAAAGAAAAAGTAAGGTTTACTGAATTTATAGTATAAAAAAGGGGAGTATGTTCCTCATCATTACACAAAATTCATGTTTATCTTTTCTTATATTTTCTTTGGTCTCAATGCATTGATGCATTTTATGAAAAAAATGCATTTTTTTGCAATTGGGATCATATTTTATATAAAGTTTATAGTTAGCTTATAATTATCAGGAAATAATTACTTACAGGGCACATCTCTTCTTACAAGTACCCTAAGACATATAAAATAGACCCTTATTCTCACATTTAGCAAAGATCTGTTATCAAAAACACACTTAAAATGCTTATGTCAGGAGAATTTTTAATAAATAAACTTTACTATTAGGGTCATCTGCGTGTACTGAGACCATTACACAAATACAAAGAAAAAGGTCATTGAAATTTATCAGTGTCATATGAAGTTCATTGCACAGAATATTGTTTTCCCATAATGTGATATTTTATTATGAGAATTCCATTGACAAATTTTTTCTAATTTTAGCACAAAACTTTACATTTCTCCTAGATAAACCATTGCTTATATACTCTAAACAGGCCTGAACTATGGAACCACTGAACTTTTTTTTTCAAAGTATAGACTAAGACATGAGGGTCCCCCACCAAAAGTATATCTGCAAATGTATTCTCTGACCTTAGTTTTGAATTCATTTCCTTAACTCCACATTTAATTTTCTATCAGAGGGATTTATGAATCTTTATAAACTGTGATACTTTTTTGTAAAATTAATTTACCTGTCTTATTTTTCCATTTATCATTATATAATTAGCATTTTCTGAACACTTTAATAACTAAGCAACATTTTATTATGTTAATCACACTACTGCTAGAAACAATAGATTGGAGTTCATTCTTCAGTATTATAGAAATTGTAAGAAACAACTCTGCATTTCAATTTTTGCACAGATTTTGTTTTTTTTCTAGGATTAGGTTTTCCTCAAGGGGTCTTGAAATATATTACCAAATTTCTTTAGAAAGACTACAATGATCTACTCTAATCATGAGGGTGCCTACCTCAACACACCTTGCCAGCACTGAGTAGTATTATTGTTCAGGATTTTGTTAATGTGACCAGTAAAAGGACATCAAATGAGTTAACATGATTTTTTAAAAATTATTATTAGCACAAACCCATACTCTCAATGATGCTTCCCTTACCTTATATTAAGTATTCAAGAGTCTTCTTGTCTATTGTTCTATAGACCTGTGTCTATCCATGTGATAATTCTATACTTTTAAAGAGAAAGTACACTACACAATTACCTCTAATAGTAAGAAAAGTTACAATATAAATGTTCAACATTACTGAAGTAGTTATATGTGACATAGCTGCAGATTGAAACAATTATTAAAAATTATGCTTATAGAGTTTGCCAATGATCAGATGCTAAATTAGAATATGTTGGCATAAGGGCATTTTGCAACTATTGATATGAAAAAAAAAACTTGTTTCTGTTGAATTAAAAAAAATGAAGAGGTAATTAACAAAATGTTGTCAGTGCTCAACTCAATTAGTGGAGTTACGGGTGCTTTATGCATTCTTCGCTGGAACTTTCATTATTTTCTAAATTGCACCAAGCTATATACTTTTCCTTGCTTCCTTGCAAATCTTTTCTAGATTAGGGTGGGGCTATATATTTAAGACACAATGCTTTTAATTACATTGTCAATATCCCAAGCTGTTGATCAACACTTTAAATATTCTTTAGCTGAAAGAATTCAGAGAAACATCAAACAAGAGAAGACTGCTATTTTAAAAATTCACTTTTCCAATGCCCAAGTTTAATATTTGATTTGAGACCAAAGGAAAAGAATAAATAATAATGTTTTAAGGGGGGAAAAGCATAGCAGAGAAAGACACCTAATACCACATTTTTGATTCTGTAACTTAATAATCACAATCCATCTTTGCGAGGTCATATAATTCATCTTCTAAACTGTGACAATATCAATTCAAGCTATGCCATCTCAGCTCACAGCAACCTTTCAGTTTAGTTAGAGTGTCTCAGTGAAGGATGGTTAGTAAAATCTTGAAATCTACCTGTCAAATGACGGCTTCTCTCCGCAGTCAAAAGCATCCTGCAGTTCCTTGACCAGGTTAGCCTGGCCTGGCAGTCGGAAGAGACCCTCCTCCTTCAGCCCCCTTTGTCGGATGAAGTCCACACACTGCTCCACCAACATCGGAGCCAGGCGGTTCCCATACCTCTTCTCATAGCGAACAGTATCTTCCAGTTTCTGTCCAAAAATGCCTGGAGAAATAAAGGATCACAATGAATTTGAGAAATTCATCTGTTCCTACTACGTAAGTTTAAGCAAACTCTGGGAGATAGCGAAGGACAGGGAGACCTGGTTCTCTGCAGTCTATAGGGTGGCGAAGAGCTGGACACGACTTAGAGACAACAACAACTATTACTACTCCTTTGTTCTAACTACTGGACCACAAGAGAATTCCCCTCTCTTCACTTTTGTTTTCTTTTTCTTTTTTAAATAAAAGGGCACCTTCTGTTTTCAGTCAAGTGATGATGCCATGATTATAATCAAGGTGATAAACCATGAAAAGAGACACAGAATTTTCACCCATATAAAATATTTCAGACAGTGTCTGCTCTTTAAAATCTTAAACTATTAATTTACTGGCAAGAAAAAAAAATTGAATTATGAAGCTCTATGTTCTACAAGTGAGGAGACAGGGTCATGGTGATTTTTCTTAACAGGAATGAGTATTTGATTACATATTGTCTAGAATTAGCAGCACATGGGGGTAATAAAAATCAAAACCATATTGACCAGTTTTATTCATTATATTTAAATACTTAACAAATGATGCATTTTTTTCTGCGTGCATTTGGGGCTGAATATCCCCACTCTGCATCCTTGGTACCCCACTGATTAAGAAACAATGCCTCTAAAATATACTAATATGAGGTGGAACTCGGAAAAATAACCAACCAATGAGAAAAGAGGAAGAAAAGGAGCCAAAGCAAATATGATTCCAATGTTCCCAGATGGGATGAATATTACTGAAAGGTTTTAATGGCCTAATGAGTTTCATAAAAGGGGAAGAAAAATTAGTGGTGCATGTTGAAACTATGTAAGACTCTGGAATGTTTGGGGAATTATTTCAAAACCATTAAGTTCAGTATTTAACAATAAGAACATATGCTTTACTTCTCTATCAGTAAAATAATTTATGCATGGATTCAGTAAAGTAAAACCATCACATTCCATGCAATAAACACTTGCTACTAAAGAGAATATTCTTAGCCTAGGCAGAACCAAAAACACAACAAATGAAACTATTCTCCACCTGGTATCCAGTCTAGCACTAACATATTCCTTTGAGGAAAAACGCTTGAATGATCCGATATTAATATTTAAGTGCATATAAAACAATTGGAAATTAGCTGAGTTTGTAGACTTTGCAACAAGCAGTTTCTCAATAATGGTATGTTAAACATTGGAATCACTGATCTTGGCTTTTCTGTTACTTGCAGCAGTGTCCAATACTTTATGAAGTGGTGATAATGATTTGAAACTCTTAGTGTTTTAATAACAAAGCTTGAAAATTGACCATGAATGAAGAATACTGACTCTCTCTCTATGGAGCTCTTTCATGCTTTCATGCCTGGAATGTTTGGATTCTATCCTGCCAAAATTAAGGAGATAGCCTTTCAGAGGCACTTCTAAATTAAAAAAAAATAATGTTAACATTAGGGAATAAATCTTATCTATCTGATTTTTTACTTCTTTTTTTTTTTTTTGGACTGACACATTATTAATACTTAAGGTATCTCCCTCAATCCAGCAGAAAATCTATTAAAGATGTTCCAGTTCAACCTCAATGTGTGTTACACATGAGAACCAAACTTCCAAGATTTAGTTTTATGCAGTAATGAAAAACAGTCAAACATTCTTTTCTGATCAGGGTTCCTTTATTCCCCGAAACTCAGGGAAGTGATAAAGGATACAGTAAGTTTTGCTTTAGAAGGGTACTCTGGTTTTCTTTTCTTCCCCCCTGTTACACATAGGCTTGCCTGTATGATAAGAATTTTCTTAAGTATATCAACAAACTAAAAGCCAAGAGCCCCCAACATTCATTCATGCATTAAGTACCTAACATGCACTAAGTTGTTGACATGTATTCCCTTATTTCCATAATAAATATACATGGTAGCTATGAAACTGAGAGAGATTAAATACATAAGGTTAGTTACACAGCCGGAGAAGGCAATGGCACCCCACTCCAGTACTCTTGCCTGGAAAATCCCATGGATGGAGGAGCCTGGTAGGCTACAGTCCACGGGGTTACGAAGAGTCGGACTCGACTGAGCAACTTCACTTTCACTTTTCACTTTCATGCACTGGAGAAGGAAATGGCAACCCACTCCAGTGTTCGTGCCTGGAGAATCCCAGGGACGGGGGAGCCTGGTGGGCTGCTGTCTGTGGGGTCCCACAGAGTCAGACACGACTGAAGCGACTTAGCAGCAGCAGCAGCAGTTACACAGTACCAAGTCACAGAACGGAAATCCTTATCTAGACTTAGCCTTACAAATCTTTGCTTGTCTCTGAGCACCTGTCCTCTTCCACTTTGTTTAACTCAATTATCATGTGTTTTCATTTTCTAGTAATTTAAAATATTAATAAATTCTAAAAGTGAAGAAAACAGCATATCTTTTCTGTGCTCTGAAAAATGCTAATAGCGAGGATGTATTTATGTATGCCAGGCATGGGTACAAGCAGTTTATCTGCACTTCTCTTACTTAAAACTCACAGCATTCAATGAGGTAGGCACCACCATATTGCTGAGGAGGAGACTAAAGCACAAGTAAGTAACTTGCTGAATGTCACAAGGTAAAAGGTGGAACCAGGATTTGATCAAGGCTGCTGAATTTCAGATGACTGTGTGTGCATTACAAAATATTGCACAGTGGGCATAATGGCTAAAAATTGAGTTACAAAGGAAGAGCTGACTCATTGGAAAAGACCCTGATGCTTGAAAAGCCTGAGGTCAGGAGGAGAAGGAGGGCAGAGGATGAGATGGTTGGATGGCATCACCAAATCAATGGATTTGAATTTGAACAAACTTTGGGAGATGGCGAAGGACAGGGACGCCCAGAGTGTTGTAGTCCATGGGGTCACAAAGAGTTGGACACAACTTAGTGACTGATCAACAATAATCTCAGATATACAGATGACACCACCCTTATGACAGAAAGTGAAGAAGAACTAAAGAGCCTCTTGATGAAAGGGAAAGAGGAGAGTGAAAAAGTTGGCTTAAAGCTCAACATTCAGAAAACTAAGATCATGGCATCCGGTCTCATCACTTCATGGCAAACAGATGGGGAAACAGTGGTTGACTTTATTTTTCTGGGCTCCAAAATCACTGCAGATTGTGATTGCAGCCATGAAATTAAGACACTTACCCCTTGGAAAGAAAGTTATGACCAACCTAGATAGCACATTAAAAAGCAAAGACATTACTTTGCCAACAAAGGTCTGTCTAATCAAGGCTATGGTTTTTCCAGTGGTCATGTATGGATGTGAGAGTTGGACTATAAAGAAAGCTGAGCACCAAAGAATTGACTCTTTTGAACTGTGGTGTTGGAGAAGACTCTTGAGAGTCCCTTGGACTGCAAAGAGATCCAACCAGTCCATCCTAAAGGAGATCAGTCCTGGGTGTTCATTGGAAGGACTGATGCTGAAGCTGAAACTCCAGTACTTTGGCCACCTCATGCGAAGAGTTGACTCACTGGAAAAGACCCTGATGCTGGGAGGTATTGGGGGCAGGAGGAGAAGGGGACGACAGAGGATGAGATGGCTGGATGGCATCACCGACTCGATGGACATGAGTTTGAGTAAATTCCAGGAGTTGGTAATGGACAGGGAGGCCTGGCGTGCTGAGATTCATGGGGTTGCAAAGAGTTGGACACAACTGAGTGACTGAACTGAACTGATACATATTTAGCAACAGAATATGTAAAAGAGTTTTAGAATGTAGACAATACATACACATGCTTAGAATTCCTGTGGGGAAAACAGTAATTTTCTGCTGTTTATCCAGTCTTGCAAAGCATTAGGTAATGATTAGTTGCATACCCCCCAGCCTGTAGCATTGGAAATAGAATGTTCCAAAGGTCTCTGACTTACAAAGGTAGATGGTGAATCGACTTCCCTATAAGAATTTTTTGTTTTTGGTGTGGAACCCAGGGAGAAATTGTGTGCTTAGTCAGTCACTCATGTACGACTCTTTGTGAGCCACGGACTGTAGCCTGCCAGGCTCATTTATGCGTGGGGATTCTCCTGGCCAGAATACTGGAGTAGGTTGCCATGCCCTCCTCCAGGGGATCTTCCCAACCCAGGGATGGAACTCAAGTTTCCCTCGTTGCAGGTGGATTCTTTACCATCTGAACCACCAAGGAAGCCCAGGGGGAAACTAGAGTTGCAGAAATAGAGAATGGAGGCAATGGCACAGGTAGAGGGGGAAAGGGAAGGAGCAATGAACTGACAGATTGGGACTGACATATATACACTACCATGTCTAAAAGAGATAGCTAGTGGGAACCTGCTGCATAGTAAACCGAGCTCAGCTCTGTACCCTGTGGAGACTTAGAGAGGTGAGACTGGGGGTGGGGTAGGAGGGAAGCTCAAGAGGGAGGGGATATGTGTATACATACAGCTGATTCACTTCATTGTACACAGGAAACTAACACAACATTGTAAAGCAATTATACTCTAATAAAAGAAGCTGCTTTATTTAGAACTTCAACATTTAAACTTCAAATTTTAAAATGAACAACAAAAAAAGCACAAAGGTCATGAGCTATCCCCAACTAGCAGCATGAAGAAGAGAACACACTGATTAGTAGATTATTAACAGGAATATCCCCCGTGGTGTGAGTCTTGCAAGCAGTTTCAGCTCTGCCCATGTAAAATCTCAGAGAGGTTTCACCTTCCCTAACAAAAGCATCCTTGGAATTTCTGGGGGAAAACAATCCATTATGCATATTTTCCCCTGGACGTACATTGATGGTGTCATAAAGCATCATTCAGGACGTGACATTCCACCAGACTGAGAAAGTAAATCACACAGGTGATTTTATTATATCTGTGGGAGTCTGTTTCAGCTGGAGGGAGACGCAGAGGGAGAGGAAAAAAAAATATAAAGAAAACCTAAATAGCTTCAGGATTTGTGAGGTTCTTCCTTTATATACTCTATGGCTAGAGGCAGCCTGTGGCATTACTGAATGTG